GGATCAACCAATAGGGGTGAACCAAGCAGATTGCCAATCAAGTAGCTACTCGCTCGAGGACACGATCTGATTGGTCCGATCTTATGACGCTTGCTTTCGTAAATATCCGTACTAGGTACGTAATAAAGACTTCATTTTCGTGCGCCTCTGTCTCGTTAGGGGATTGAAACAAAGCGTCTGGGACGGCAAAAATCTTGCTTTTTGGCGACATTACAACAGAAAGGACCCCGTACTTACTCCATCAGGCCATTTGTACTCCTCCATTTGGAGGGAAATCCGCCAATCACGAGGCAGTCCATGCTGACGCGCATATTCTCCTGAGCGACAATAGTTCCACCAATAGAGATGATGGAGATGGGGGCTAAAAGAGGATTAAGGACCAGCAGGTTAGAAAATCTGATAAGTCGTAAGAAGAACACTGCGGAAACGAACAAGGTATACACGACAACGGTGAGGTAGAAGAGGTCAACTTACAGTCGATTGCAGGCGACACGGATGCTATAGAGGCCGGTCGACCATCAAATCGGTTTTTGGCCAGAACAGAAATATTGTAAGGCACGTGAAGCTCAAGATCTGGAATACAGAGGAAAAAATTGCAAGATATAAACGAATAGAAAACATTCTGGTGATTTACGACACGTATTTATATACGGACTGAATGATTTCTGGATGATCTATCGTACTGACACCACCAGTAATTGCCAAAAAAACGGACCCGTATATTTCGCCGCTTTTGCGCCGCTGCATGAGGCAACTACAAGAGCTAGGGCTCAGCACTGGGTATCCCTCAGCGTTAAAACTGCACTGTATTAAATAGAGGATAGAGCTTTCTTGTGAGGCCACCTGAAAATAAATTTCCCCAGCCTAAAGTCGAATTTCCGCTTATCTAACCAATAGGAGTGGTCTACTATCCTTATTGGCCAATAGACATCCTTTATTGAACCAGTAGGAGTTTATGTTGGTTGACTTGATTCTCTCCTGGCAGGTTTCACATCATATTTAGCCCAATAAACAACTACAATCGGCTTTTATTTATTTTCTGCAGTTCACTTTCCACGCATTAAACACGCATTATCTGCTCCCTAATCAAGCATTAAACCCTTGACCACGAATTCCGTAAGACATTTGGGCGGTCG